TTAATTATGAGGTGGATAAATGAATGCATCTTACATAGATCTAGCTGCGTCTTATCTTTATAAATTAACACAATTTATGTAGAAGAGGCATCTGCTGTGGGGTGATGTTTATGACACTAAAGATCCTACTAAGTAGAGGAACATAGAAAACTATAAATATCTCACTAAAACATCATTTAGTTCAATGCCAAGGTCAAGCCAACAATCTTCAAGTTGGATATCAATTCCATAATGACAAAAAGATAGGTAAATTGGAACTCAGATATATGGGTGTACTCTTCATTAAAATACATTGTCTGACACTTCTGCCTTCATGATGCAAAAAGGAAAAAAATGAAGGAAGATCAAAAGGAACCTCATGATCATTTGGTGCCTTAGTGTTAGACAATCCTCCAAGCAAAAAATGTGTAACACAAAAACCCAACAAACCTTCTCTTCACAAGTCACAACTTGCATCTCAAGCATCTCAAGAGACAAGTCTATACAGGAGAATGACACACGGTGGACCATAAACAGGTATACATTGTACTGGCAACTTTTCCAGTGGGATGGGGATTTCTCTAATATATTTCTATGACTAAAATAGTTTCCTTGCAATGAAATCTCAGTGTCGTCAGGAAAAACTCTTTCCCAGACTGCTTCTACATGTTATGCTGACAAGCTTTTTTTTCCTAAACCATGCCTAATGAACACACACACAAACTAACTTCCAATTTGACAGTACTCTGCCCAAATTATCTTCCTGGAACAGCCATTAGAGTGCTGAACACCCACACATGTGACTGGTGTCAAGAAGATGAACTTTTTCAGTGAATCACACAAGCTGTCCATAAATGAACATCACTGCTGAATCAAAGTTCCTGTAAGCTAAAAATTTTGACAGGATCAACACTTCAGCATGACATCAAAATTTTATTTTCCAGTTGCATTCACAAGAGCTGTCATAAATAACAATAATATGGCAGCCTGCTCTCTAACAAAATCAAGGAAGAATAAAACCAGGGAGAAAATAAACACGGTGGGGTTGACAAAATCTAGTACGCATCAGGAAAATGTCAATGGAGTAATATTTTTCTGCAGCTCTTAACTTCCTTTTTTCCAACTCCATAACTTCTTTTTTCCAAGTCTGAATCTAAATATAACCTTTTTCCCTCATGATCACACTCAGCAGGCAATCAGTCATAAATTCTGTAATTCTTCCACTAATAAATTAAAACATATCTCTAAAATCTCTGGCTATAGAACTCCTCTGGTGAGTATTTTTGCCATTATTAGCATTTTTCCACAGGAAATGCTTGAAAGATTTCCAGAAAACAGAGAAATCTGTTTCTCTTCCTTTCCACCCTGATAGAGCTTTAATGATCACAACGTAGACTTCTACTGAAAGATCCCAAAGTATTTACAATGCACAAGAGTGAGAGAGAAAGCTGTTTTTAGTTCACAGGAATTTGATGAAAACGACTCTCAAGTTCTCCAACACACTCTGAAGTTGCCAGCACTTGATCCTTTTCTCCCCTGCAGGAGTCTGTCCCCTAGAAGTGCAGCCTCTGGGTGTGGGAACAACCTGCTGAGACTACCAATGGTTCTATTATTTGACTCGTAAAACTTGTAAAAAATCTCACAGAACTACAACGTGCTATTGTGTTCGTAAATCTCTTTCATGACTTAGTTAGCAGCCTGTCTCAAAGCAGTCTGGCCTGTTTCTGCTGCTACCATAAAAGGACTTTTTGAAAGAGCTATTTAACTGTGACCATGGTTTCAGCAACGCTGAGAAGACAAAGGAAGTGCTGAAGTCATTCAGACACTTCAGTACTCAGACTCCATCAAATCAGTGTCTTTCCCTCAGAAGGAGCTTATGCATAATTAGCTCTCTTTGTATACTGAATGAACAAATACATCAATATTCAAGATGCATAAAACTGCCACTTGTGAGCTTTAGTTTAGATTTAAGCATTAGAAACCACAGTGCACCACCTATAGAGAGCAGGCTATCAAAGAACATCTTCAGAAGACTAATTTTATATGTACTTTCTGTCTTGTATCTTGAAAAGAATTAAAAGAAAAAATAATGTATTTTGTATTTCCCATAGACAGATTATTTTTAAATACAAGCAATTGTTAATATTACTTCTTGTCACCAGCAAGGAGAGAATTGTATAAACAGAAAATTGATAGAAGTGGCTTCTGAGTTTACCATCAGTTCTTTGTAGCAGTGCCTGCATGTAGTCACTACTGCATGATACACAGCACAAGATTCTCTGCACTGTGAAGCTGAGTACAATGAATCAAAAGACATTTTTTCTCACTCCTGAATGAATTATTCCCATTCTATCTAAGGGAGATGCTGATAATCTTCCAGCAAGAGCACATTCTGAATAAGTACTGATTATCTACCTTATAGGACCCACAAAGTTAAGTAGCATTACTTAAAGAAACTGACGATCTGCAATGTGAAGGTGTAAGATCAGCTCTGTGCTCAGCTTCCCTTTAAAAACAAATACAAACAACTAAGTCTAGCCATCTAGCCAGTCTAAAATTAGTTCTGTGGATTAAGTATGCCCAAACAGCCCTACACAGTGCATCAGACATGAGGATAGCACACATTTGATCGTTTTGATAGATCGTTCAACATACCAGCATGTACTACCAGCATGTGATGGAGCAGCTCCACAAGGGAAGGCGAACAGAGAGCTCCAGCATGGGAAATGAGCTCACCAACAAAGGTGCAGTCCCACAGCACCAAGGTACAAGCAAGCTGAGGAGGGTGATGACAGTGACATGTACTGTCACAGACCAGTGAGCCTCAGGCAAGACAAGATAACAGACCAAGACAGAGGTCCCTTGAGCTTCTTGCACAGCAACTCAGAAATGGGGCTTAGGAGCAGCCGCACCTTAGTGCCCTCGGGGTCCTGAAACAGTAAACTTCATTAAGGACTGTAATTTGGTAGAGACACCAGGAGCCCGACTGCCTGAATACAAATACATATCTGCAAATGCAAAGTTGCCACAAGCAGAGCGAGATGCTACAAAAAAAAACTGTTTTAAAGCTTCATAACTTGAGGACCTTAATTTTCAGCAGTTCATACCTGACTTCATATGGCCTTCACCATTTATTCAATGTGCTGAAAATTCTATAAATCCAGGAAGCTTTTTCTTATACCTCTTGAATTTGTGTCTTAAGACTTCTTCTCCAGGATTGCTATTTTAAAACCACTGAACTGTGGACCAAGTTTAAACTAAGATATATAGACAGGAAAAACTTTGTTAAAAGGGAGTTAAAGGAAAGGATAGTCCTTGTCTTCTTCCTTGTAAGCCTCTTTTCCCCAGGCTTTTCATCCTGACATCAAAGTTTTAATAAGTAAATTTAGCACCATGGCTACTGACAAGAGTCCAAGACAAGCTTCCACTAGAACACTGAAAAGATGAGAAACCACATTTATAATATATAAAACTTGTTGCAACAAGACAAGACACATTGATGAATTGGCACATTATGCATCTGCCTTTCACTTGGCTATTTTATTAAAACTGTAACAATGTACACTGTCCAGAATAGTGCAAGATGTACAGCAAATTAAATAATACAATCAACACGTCCACCACTGTTGCTTTTGGCATCACTTTTTTTTTTTTTTTTTTTTTTTTTTTTTTTTACAGTGCTCTCAGACAGCTCTTGGCCTCTGTCAAAGAACACTACGTTATCATATCTCAGCACTAATCTGTGACTAAGGCCAGAGATCTTACAACACTGAACTAACTGATGTTTAGAGCAGAATTCTAACAGCAGCACTATGTGTCCTTTGGCAGCTCCTTCCCCCTTCTTCCCTTCCCATTCTCCTCATCCCTTTTCTTACTCCAAACCGTAATTCCAAAGTTGGAGCTTTGACTCCCAACCCTCAGCTGAGACTCTAGCAGAGGACGCCTCTCCACATCAGCATTTCTCCTAGTTTACTACTTCTATCAACCTGGACCCTATCCCAGGAACCTCTCAACTTTCCTCAACCACGAACACCCAACGAAGGCAATTCTAACATCAGAATTCAACTGACTTCATAATTTCCTCTTCAGCCTGTTACTATTGGCCCTCCTCAGTCTCTTTGCCACTAGAATTCTAACCTAAAACAGAAATTCAAGCATCTGAGAAATTTAGACTGTCCACAAGAATAGCTATAGAAACGTCCTACAGTCAAGGATAACCTGTGCTTCTCAAATACTTTCCAGAACGTTATAATCTCCCAAAAGACAGAAGAAAGGAGTACAATAATTAAAGAATGTAATATCTGAGAGAGGTGACTTATACATCAGTTCTTTCAAGGTTCTATAAAAGAACATTCACTCAATTCAACCATGAAGAAAGGTATTAATTCAGTGGAAATTACAGACATTGAGCACAGCAAGAGGCTCTTGCTACGGAATCCATCCCTAACATTTCTTCCAGAGTTTCTATACTGCCAATTCCGGCTTCACTTTTAAATAAGATTAATGAATGCTTCAGAGTGTTTGTGATTTACACTAACATAATACATACTTATGTATTTTTCAGCACTCTGATATGTACAAAAGTAAAACAGAATATACAATTTTGCCAAGATTTCAGTTGCTTTTCAGATCAGAAGTGAGTTTTTAATTGTAGCATCAAGTAAGTATAGACCTGACTTTTTGTTGTTGGTTTTTTTGTTTTTGTTTTTGTTTTGCAAATGTTTCTTCACTTCTCCAAAAATCAATTAAGCAAGAACATGGGTTCTTTTAAGCTGCTAAGAAAGACAAGTTCATGGGTAGTCGCCACTTAAATGAAGAGAGGCCCCAGTATCCAAATGAAACACAACACCCAGAAGTGTTTCACTGAAGCACACAGAAAATGGTCTGATATATTTATAATTAGCTTCTCTATAGCAAAAGATAGACAGGAGCACCATTTGCCTACAAAAGACTGGAAATACTTGTGAACTTCTAGTTACATACTGAATGAAATATTTGAAGGATAAGAACTGGTACCTTACCTTGACATACTCCAAAGTAGGATCTGGAATATTCTGATCTCTAGAACAGAATGCGGCAAGAGGGAGAAGAGAAACAAACAAACAAAAAAAGAATGGTGAGTCCAAATATTTCTAGTATTACTGAATATTATTAGATCATGTTAAAATTCTTGTTCAAAATTGCCTTTGTAAAGGCAGATGGCCTACCCAATCATTTAAGAAATATATTAAACATCAATTCCTTCTGGAAAATCAGTAGAGGAGCTACTATTATTGAATTTTGGAAATAAACATCATTATACAGTTTTAAGTGAACTAAAACCAATCTTATGACAAAAATTTCAACAGAGAGCTGAAAATAGTTAAGTTACCTAAAACATTTCAAGTAAATTAAAGAGAGAGAACTTTCAAACTTGTCAGTTTATTTCTTGCACATTTTCCCGTTTAGGTTACTGGCAGTGACAGGATTGAGAGGGCATTCACTGCTAACCTACTAGAAAATAAAACACGACATTCACTTTTTATATCATCAAAGCAAAGAATTAATGGGTTTGCAAAAGTACAATATTTTACGTTTTGAAAAAAAAAAAAAAGGTTCTTGTACTCTTTTGCAAACTTCACAAAATTATCATAACTTCAACATTACAATTCTTCAAAAGTCAAGTAATCAAGCCATTGCTCTCTTAAAAATAAAATCTGTTTTTGCACGTTGTCAAATACATACACATGACAAACATTCCCAAGGGCATAGAACTCTATATAATAAGCCCTGTTATCAATTATAACTCTCACAATAAATAGGAATAAAAACTAATATTTGTTTTCAAAGGCTTCTGTATATTTGTTTGTGTTTTGGAATGAGAAGGTTACTAGAGTTTGCAACATAGGCTTGGACGATTTCTACAGACTCTGAGATGACACACACAGCGCTAATTTAAACACAAACACACAAACATGCAACAGACATTATGAAAATCTTGCAGACTCATAAAGCCATCAGGAGCCTGTTATGGCAATACAATTTGCCATACTGCCAACACATGCCCAAAAATTTAGAAAGGGAATTCTGTTCAACTGGAAGTTGCTATGATGTAACACTGGAAATATCAGCAGGTTCAGACAGGAAGAAAATGGGTTACACTGAAATCAACCAACTCAAAATATAGTTTCAAACTTCACCTTTATTTGGAATGTAATTGCTTATCATCAGAAACTAAGTTATTGTTTAATACTCAGTTTTAGGTTTGATTCTCTCACAGCTCTTAATCTAGAAGCAAAACAGAGCCCTTCTGCTTCACAGTCCTGCCTCCAAAGAATATTGCAAAGTGTTCAGCTGTCCAGGTTGGATCGTATGTTGCTGTTTCTCACTGCCTCAGTACTTACCAACAGTCAAATTCCATTCCCAGTTAAGTTTAAAAACTAAAAAAAAAAAAAACCACCAATGATACCAAATCCAGTGAAAGTAGGATTTAGTCCATTTGCAGTATTTTCCTAGCCAATATCCAAAAAAGAGACATTTGGGCAACCGTATATACACAAAATACAAGCAAACATATCAGAGAAAACAGGTGAAGCACAGAGGAAAAAGGAAGCTAGTGTAGAGAAAAAAAAAAAAAAAAAGTTTTCTTTTACAACATTTAGAAATTTAACTGGGGGAAAAAAATCCTGTTCTTAACCAGTTCAGCAAAGTTCATAAGCATGGCTAAATTTTTCTCATACCCAAATGATCTGTGGGAAGTCCTGACAATACTGAAGGCTATGAAAAAAATTAGCAATTTATTTTCAGAAAAAGAATCTAACAGTGCTAATTTGTACTGTACTCCTAAACAATGAACCTAAGTGATAAAACTAGCTAGTTAACTGCTACTTTAGCAGTGAGAATGCTTTCTTCTGGTATTCACAAACTCTACTCCAGTACACTGGCTTTGCTATGGACTCTACTGTTCCCACTGTCAAATGCAAAGCAACAAATCTTTAGGACAGATCAAGCCAAAGGAAAATAAATGAAAGAGGTAGCTTCCAGACAAAGCAGTCTGTTTCCTCCCATACAAAGCAAAGAACCCAGGACTGAAAGAAAGCAACCTACTTTTCTTTCACTGTACTTATTCACCATCCACATGACAAAAGTGCTTTGAAAATTTTGGCCTTGGGAAAAAGACACTGTAGCAAATCTCTACAAGAGCATCGTAATATTTAATCTAATAAACTGATACACAATAAAACATAGCAAATTCTACAGTGCTCCACTACTACAGTCTGTGGAAAGGAATGCTTATCCTGTAAGCCCTCCTCATCTCAGCCACGTTTCTCCTAACAGATCTTCCCTCTTCTCTCCCTACCTTATCTTGTCTAAGTCTTCATCTTCGTGCAATTTTTTGAGATCATTTTCAAGGAAGGTAACTTTCACTGATGTGCAATAACTGATAGTAAAGATTAATTATTTCACTTTCATATCATGCAATTCCAGCATAAAGCTGCCACGCTAAGCAGTTGGCCAAAACAACCAGGAACTAAGCACAAAACTAACTCCTGAGTATCAGCTCTCAGTTAGTAGTGATGAAGCACCATTTATGTCTCATGCTCCCAGTAAAGGAAACCTATCCTGTCAAGACCCTTAAGAAAAATAAAAGCTTTTTTTTTTTTTTTGTAAGTCATCTTAACAAAAAGGGCAAATTCACAACACACTATTTGTATTGGATAGTCTTCAGGAAAAAACCAACACAACATTTTAGGATAAGTACTTGCAGGCTCTGCTACGTCTCAAAATCAATTCAATCGAAGGCTTATTTCAGTAACACCAAACTTTTCCTCTTTCATCAGATTTTACTACATTTCAAGTAAATGCTAATGTTTCTCTTCATAATGAGCTTGACTTTACAGCTTTGCTCGTTTGCATGCTTACCTACAATATGTACAAATTAGAGTCTGTAAGACAACCATTACTGTGTGAACTGTGGGTTCACAGGTTGGGTGTTATTACATATTCCAGCTTCCTGATAATCAGATAAGCTCAATTCTCATTCAGCCAAAAAGCCCATTAAATGCAGAAAGAAGTCTTCTGGAATATTTTCAGAGCACCTCAAAGTAAGGCGCTGGGTAAGCACTCAATAGGTCACACAGAATTGGCTTCACACTCTTTTCATACTCAGATTGTCACAAAATATGATTTAAGAAAGGGATGTGAATACATACTCCCATATCTATTTTGGGTATTCACAACCATGCCATCTCATTTCAAGAGCTCTCTCCAGAATGTTTCTGTTAACCCTTCTCCACACGTACCAGTAGCATACATGCACGCAAGTGCAAGTCCTCCACATGTCTGTGTTGTAACTGCAGTAGAATAAAATACTCCTTCAGTAACAATTCACCAGTAGAAGCAAGCAGTGCATCATCACACTCTTAACCTCTACTATTCTAAGGCTGTCCGGGCCAGAAGCATACATTCTTTCTTGATCTTCCCTTGATACATCTGAAAACATCTTTCTCACCGCTGGAGCACAAACCCAGCTCTGATCATTCAGTTCAGTGGATGCAGAACAGCCAGAATTTGTGAGCAGCTTTTCCTTTTCTGCAGATTCTGAGGTTTGCTCAATAATTCTCTAGCATTATATCAATGAAGAATCTTTAAGCAGAATCTTTAACTATTTTTCTTCTATCCATTTTAAGAAAACCTCCATCTTCCTACGATTGTATGTTACCTTCCAACCTTTTTGCTGCTGTGAAGAGCCCTACAACATACAGACCTGCACAGACTAAGCCATATTAAGCACCTGCTTTCTCTGGCCCTTGTCACCCTCATAGCCACACTTACCAAGTAACTGTGATAACTTCAATACAATTTAAGTATGGACATAACAGTATTATCAGAGATGCCCAAATCCTCATCATCATTAAACTAGATAATAACTCTTACATGTTGTGAAAACTGCTGACGGTCCATAAGTACATTATTTGCGCTATTAAGCGTTTTTTTAAATGTTCTTGTGGGGAAAAACAGTAGGACATATTGCTACAAGAAAGTATGTTTCTTTGTTTTACAGTGACCGTTGCTAGTGACATTTTTTAAAGCAGCTCCTTTCTTCTACATTGAAAAAGCAATGCTGAGAAGAACAAATTTCTCAACAGTGCCAAGGCTGCTGCCTGACAAATCAAAGCGAAGACAGTACAGGCTCAAAGGAGTCTGATAAACTGAAAAACGTACCAACCTGTTGTGTGGCTGCTTACACAGACAGAACTGCTATAAAGACCAGATAGCACTAGAAGCCTTCTTCTATTTGTCTCCAAATTCCTTCCATCTACATAGATTTAAGAAATACCCAACTACTTAATTTTGGAGGTACATGTCTGAACATGCTAGACATATTGTATTTAAGTATATGTACTGCAGATTAATGCTATTTGCACTGTAAACTAGAGTAAAAGATGTGGTGATTTTATCCTTGAGCAGCTTCTGCATAACACAAACTCCTACTACATTCCTAACTTCATTCCTCTCTTCTGTCTACAGCTGCGGAACGCTATGAACATGACTCACTCAAACACCAGTGGAAACAAGTGCAAACTTCTATGTCTAACTGCATAATGACCTGCAGTTCACACAAGAACAGCAAGGACTATTCAGTAATTAAACTCAAGAAAAGATAAAACATCCTCTTCTCCGAAATTAAATAAAATCTTCACTCATTCATAGTTGTTCAGAATGCCTCTGCAGAGCTAATATTATAGCCATTTCCTTTCACCACTTCCATCTTCTGCAATCCCTTCACTTGCTCCATTCTACCAATTAGAGCAGAAAAATCTATCCTACTTTTATTACCTTTTCCAAATCAACTTCTAATTCTGAGCCAGAGACAGTACTGTTCTCTCTACAATTCAACCAAAAGCCCAAAGTAGGAGCTTTCATTATTCTATTTTCCATAACATTTAGAAGTCCAAGAGCCAAAGCTTGCTCTCTAAAGCTGTTCTTAAGTGTCCTTTTTCCAGGACAGTCACAAAGCTGTGAAAGCAGTGGTTGTGCAGCAGAACTATGGCTTATCAAAAACAGTCATGCCTTTTATAAATTTTTCTGCATACGTGCTGTCATCTGTTCATTTATATCTTCATCTGGCAACTCTTTACAGTCAGTGCCTTGTTTGCTGTAGTTCCTCAGAATTGAGTTATTCAGAAATTTAAAATCACTTTAATTTATTTAAATAAAAAAAGAGGCACACTCAATGATATCACAGATTCTATCAATTTATCTGAAGCTCATGTAAACTGAGGTACAAAAATTACTCACAAAGGATGACTGTCACCTAGCTGATGTGCTTTCAATGTGTTTGACCTGAAACAAAGCAAAGCTAATCCTCTGTTTTAGCACTAAGAAGATGGTGGGAGGAAAAGCTGTCCTACCTGACTGCCTCTTTAATTCAGTTTAACCTCATTGCATCAGGCACCACTCCATACAGGAGAGCAAACAAGACGAATGTTCAATACATTACCCTATGTAACATTTAACTCTGCTGCGTATATTTCACTCAATTTCATTGATTTCCTCCTTACTAACAGATCAGAAATTTATAACCCTACATAATTACTTGGTTGCTCATCTCCCGTCTTCACATCATCCAGCTAAGTTGTACTTTGACAAGTTGGTACTAGTGAGTTGCTCAGCACAGAGCTCCAAGAATATGCAATCTTATCATCACGTAATAAACTGTGGCTGCTACAAGTACTTTCAGAAGCCAGTAGGTATCTCACAATCTATCATGAAAATACATATCAGACTGCAACACAAGAAAAATCACAATGCAAAGTGTCTTTTACTAAACAACAATTTTTGCTAGAAAGCAGAAGTACAGACACACATCATAGTTTCAGCCAGAGTGTGACAGACTGACAGGTTCATGGCAACAGACATAAAATTAATAAAACTTATGATACAGAAATGGTCAAAGGTAACCAGAGGTAACAATTTTTCTAATGATCTTGCAAATAGTTTCATATCTGAAGAACTGTATTGCCACATTTAAATTCAACACACACTATTGTCATAGAATCCTTAGAGATGGAAGGGACCTTTAAGGGTCACCTAGCCCAACTCCCCTGCAATGAATAAGGACATTCTCAGCTAGATCAGGCTGCTCAGAGCCTGGTCCAGCCTGGCCTTGAATGACTACAGTAACGGGGCTTCCACCACCTCCCTAGGCAACCTGTGCCAGTGCCTCACCACCCTCACTGTAAAATACTTTTTCCTTATATCCAATCCAATCCAAATCTACCCCCTATCCTATTACCACAGACGCTGCTAAAGAGGCTGTCTCCTTCTTTCTTGTAGCTTCTCTTTAGGTACTGAACGGTCAACTCCGAGCCTTCTCTTCTCCAGGCTGAACAGCCTCAGCCCTCTCTGTCCTCATAGGAGAGGTGTTCCATCCCTTGGATCCTTTTTGTGACCTCCCCCCTAGGATGTGCTCCAACAGGTCTACATCTCTCTTGTGCAGAGGACTCCACATCTAGAAGCAGTACTCCAAGTGAGTCCTCACCAGTGCAGAGTAGAGGGGCTGAATCATCTCCCCCGACCTGCTGGTCACAAATCTTTTGATGTAGCCCAGGATATGGATGGCTTTCTCAGCTGTGAGGGCACGTTGCTAGCTTATGACCAGCTTCCAATCCATCAACATTCCCAAGCTCTTTTTTTGGCAGCGCTGCACACAATCCTTTCAGCTCCCAGTTTATATTGCTGGTGGGGGTTGCCTCAATCCAGGTGTAAGACCTTGCACTTGGCTTTGTTGAATCTCATGAGGTTCGCCTGGGCCCACTGTTCAAGCCTGCATAGATCCATCTGGATGACATCTTGTCCTTCAGTTGTGCCAACTGTATACCACAGCTTCGTGTCATCTGCAAACTTGCTGAGGATGCACTTCACCCACTGTCATTGTCATTGATGAAGATATTAAAGAGTACTGGCTCTGATACTGACCCCTTGGGAACACCACTTATCACTGACCTCCATCCAGACACCGAGCCACTGACCACTACTTTCTGGGTTTGATTCTGCAGCCAGTTCTTCGTCCATCAAACAGTATACTTACCAAATCCATCTCTCTCCAATTCAGAGAGAAGGACTTTGTGGGGTACTACATCAAAGATCTAACTGAAGTCCAGATTGACGACATCAGTGGCTCCTCCCTTGTGGTGCAATTACACCATCACAGAAGGCTAATGGGTTGGTAAAGCAGGATTTGCCTACGGTGAAGTCATGATGGTTCTCTCATATCACCTCCTCCCTGTCTTCCATGTGCCACCAGGCATTTCACCTGACTGCCGCCACTTTTCAAATATCATTGAAAGTGGCTTGGTGACTACATCAGCCAATTCCATCAGGACTCTGGAATACATCTCACCAGGATCCATAGACTTGTGGATGTTTAGGTTCCTCATGTGGTCACAAACCTGATCTTCATTCACAGTTGAGGGATGTTGTCCCTTCTTTCTAAACCAGTTGTTCAAGGGCTGTGTGATGAGCAGTTATCAGAGGAGACAAAGACAAAAAAGTTGAGTATCTCACCCTTCACCTTGTCTCTCGTTACCTGTTTGCTGGTGTCACTCACCCTCTTGTCTTTCCTTTTCTGGCTGAGGTACCTGTAGAAATCTTTCTTGTTCTTCTTGGCACCCCTTGCCAAGTTTACTTCAAGTTGAGCCTTGGCTTTCTTGACACCATCCTTACGCAGCCTAGCAGTTTCCTTGTAGTCTTCCTACAGTACATGTCCTGTTTCCACTGCCTGTGTATTTTCTTACTGTGCTTCAGTTTGACCAGTAGGTCCCAGTTCAGTCATGTCAGTCTCCAGTTTTCCTTTCCTGACTTCCTACACCCAGGGATGGAGAGCTGTTGTGCCCCAAAGAAAGCTTCCCTAAAGATCTGCCAGCTCAATTATTTACTAGTTTTTCCTCCATACAGAGGGGAAAAAAAAAAAAAAAAAAAGCAACACAACAACCAACTGAACAAAAAAACCTGTAAAACACTTAATTGATACAATTTTATTTTTATCTTAATTTTCAAAGTGTACCCAACCATGTGCTTTAACTGCAGACAGAACAGATCTACAAAAAAACATATTCAAACTGAATAATAACAAACTGAACTGAAACTGTTCAACAAATAGCATTTATATAATAAATATTACAGTATTCATTTTGAGCGATTAAAAATGTTGTCAATATTATGTTTTTTAAACAAGCTATCAAGCTTAAAACAATGACATGCCTGAGTCTCAGTTCCGTATAAGCACATCCATATACACATGAAACACTGTAATCCTAAAAATGGTTAGTTTTGGTCTACTGATGTCAAATAGAGCATTAGAGGTGAACAGCACATCGTGAAGTTTGACTAAAACATTCACATTTCTAACTTTTGTGAACAGCATTATAGCAATGAAAGACTGCTTTACTCTTAATTATAATAAATATTATATACATCTCTATAATAGAATCAAAATACTACAAGGCTATTCTAATAAAACATAGATAAGGTAGTGTGGAATTTCCTATATTATAGTATAATTGATGCAATTAACCAACCAAACAACCTGAACATGAGCCTAAATGGCAGAATGTGTACCACAGGAAAATAAGACCCACTCTCTCAATATTCTTTTTAAAAAACAAGCGAAAGGTGCAGAGACATCACAGGAAGACTCAGAAGTGTAAACTTGACAGCAAATATGACAGTGACTCAGAAATTGCTGACATAGCATTGTGTGTATTTTAGAAAAGCCTTTGGAAGATCAAACAGAAATAGCACTTGCTGTTATGTCACAAAAGATATAAATTCTACTAATTGACATTACTGCAAAAGGAAAATTACGTGGAAATCTGAAATATTCAGTAAGTAAAAAAAAAAAAAAAAAAAAAAGAAGAAATTCTCAAAATTCCTGAAATCTATCCATCAGATTCCATCCTACCTCAAATATTGCAAATTTTACACTTTCTTGTTTGGCTTCTCTCATCAAGAAGCAAACCAAGCACTAGAGAGGAAATCAGCTTTCATTAGCATACAAAGTTATAACAGATACACCTGTACCTAGACATTTAGAGGCCTAGGAAAACATCTAACAATCCCTATGCAACAGGCAAATGTAAATTAAGATTTCGTAAGTACCTGGTATGGAGTTTGTTGCTCTTCCCATTTTGTAGAGGGTACTCTTCTATGACATCCTGTACAAAAGGTGGCTGTTGCCTTTGTGTTCTGGTGTTTGGTAACATTCCCACATGGTTAAACGTATCACAAGCCCTAACTTTAACTGTTCCTTTCTTCTTCCTGGGGAGAGTGCCATGGATAGATATGTCTTGAAAGGAGTCTGAGCGATGCTCAGTTAGTGAAGGTTTGGTGGTCAAAAGGTCCATGGACGATGCTAACGAGAACTGATGGTTCACCGAGACATTTCTGGGAAGACTTGCAAATTTCCCTGCGGCTATCATTCTTGATTCTGGAGGAGGGGAAAAAAAAAAAAAAAAAAAAATCAGTATGAATCAAAGTCCCATTTTAATGGAAATTAAATATCATGATTAACAAAAGCACCTAGAACTGAACTTCACTTTGCATTAATGCATTCAGCTCCTTCAAGGCGTAGCTTATATTATAATCAAGTCACATTCTGCCCAATTGCATGTGTCAAGTACATGTGTTTATTAACTTTTACACATTCCACTTTTCTGTACCAAATTCTTCTTCTTTTTAATTCTTTACATCCTCTGAGGAGTCAGACACCAACTCAAAATAATTAACAAAAAGCAAAAGTTGAGCATTTTGACAAAAAAATAAGGGACATAACAGGTTGGTTTGGAAGAGAACATTTGTAAATCCAGCGGATGGCACACTGTTAGGAAAAATCTTCCTGGACAGTTTTGCTCAAGTAATAAATCTAGCAAAGAACCCGTCACACATTTCTTACTGGCTGAAAACTAAAGGGCTCTATCCTAGAGATAAAGGCAGGAGCAGATTACTGGAATTCTCTTCTGCAGCATGCACAGCCTGTTGGCTCAAATCGTTGCTGACAGTAGGGATTTACATAGCTGTCAGTCTCTTTTTCAATCAATTATAGCCTGCTGTACAGTACAGGTTTTTCTGTTATCATGAGCAAAAAACCTTGTGACAAACACTTCAGACACACTAATGGATCCCTCTTCATCAAAAGGAACAAAACAAAACAAAAAAACCACTCCACCTATCTCATGCTCACTTCACAGCGTTATATTACAGAAGTCAAGACGCCTTGTCCTATCCAGATATATTAGCCTACAAAAGCCAGTCTATGGAACAAACAGCACAAGGTCAATCAACCCCACGCTATTTGACCCAGATGGTAGCCAACCAGGTGTCTCCTATGCAAACTGGAAAAACCACACAAGCAGCACAGACTGACAATCAGAAGGCAGGAAAGACTTTCTCAAGTAGTTGACTGAGAGAATCTGTTCTGACTTGGTCTAGTTTCAGGAAAACAAAACAAAGCAAAGAATAGTACCTCAAAGGCCTAGCAGTCTGGAAGACAGCTTCCAGCTACACAAGAATTCCTCTGGTTTTGGGAAATGGACAGGTTGCAACAGAATCAGAGCTGGGTCCAATAGTCCTGCTCGCTTCTCCAGCCTGAGCACCACAGGTACTAGGAAAGTGAGGCTGCATTGATACTACTGTTACAGAGGTTGTTGCATCAGGCTTAGTTTTACAGTAACGCTAAACCTGATCTCTGATTTATTCTATTTTCTTCCAGCTGTGTTGCAGATTCACAGGTTTCCAGAATTCCATCTCAAACTCTATCGCACTTCTCCCATATTGAAGGTCCTACAATAAATACTCAGCTATGATAAATAATATTTAGAATATGATTTTTTTTTTTTTTTAATCTTTAATTTGCCAAGGCTTCCAGCACATCTGCTACATAATGTAGCAGAAATGCCTCTGGACATAGCAGTTCTGAGTATCTGTTTGACTTTGCTCAGTTTTCTTGTTGCAAAGAATAGAAAAAGAGCTGAGAAGTCAAAATGAAATGATTTTGTCACACAGATCCAAATAATACTCAACATTTGAAAGAAAGAAAGCCACACACTCACAAAAGGCCTTAATAAATTGTAGTACAGGACCTTTGTGTGAAATACTGTTACCTCTTCATTTATCAAGTGCCTTGAGAGCACGTTTTCTGATTGTTAGTATGAATAATACCACATGATCATTTTCAAAATAAAACAAAGTGCTGCAAGGCCTTTGTAAATACAAATATTTGTATTACAAGTATTCTAAGCAAAACAACTGGCCCAGAGATAAGAAGCTCTGTAATGCAAATGTTTACCACAAAACTACAGTTTCCTAGCTAGAATAAACTAACAGAGCTTCTTTCCAGTAAAATCAGCTTTATTATCACAGATGAATGACAACACTGATCTCAAGCAACAAGGGGTAAAAAAGCAAAACAAAATTAAGCTTCTTGGAAGTCACACAGTCACTTGAAAACCTCAACCTTTGTGTGCTTAATGTAAGGAAGCAAATATCACTTATAAAGTAACTAAAAAAAAAACAGAGGCCAACTCGCTCATATTTCCAAATGCATTCCTAATTTTCCTTCTGGGGCTGAGATTCTGTACTTAATAATCATATTTTCTTATTGATTTATTAAAAAACTCACACCTTTAAAACTCTGAATTTTGACTACATAAGTGTAGATCATCTAGTCAGAAGGAATTTGCTTAGGCCTTCCTGCAAGTTCCCACTGTGCTGAAACAAAACATGATATTTCATATAAATTGGTAGTAAAATTGAGTAGGTAAAAGTATAACCAGCTTAAGGTTTATAGTGCCAGGTGAGTCCACGATAGGACTTACAATGGCAATACACTCTCAACAACTTTTATGGACCCTGTTCAAGGATTCATGAAGATAATTATTCCCTCTCCTGACCCAATCCCAGGATTATTATAGCAATCCAATAGATTTCCAGTCCAATATTCACCAAATAAATGATGACTTTCCAAAGTCCACCATTTTCCTTTCAATTTCCCAGTAAACCTTTCTTAAAATAGAAAAACCAACGATACTTCCACCAGTTATGCCCAAATCATTGTACCTTTTATAAAACTCACTCCCTCAGTAACATCCTACATTTCTCATATTCAACACCTAATCCTCAAATTCACATTTTTTAATTTTTTGAGTAATTGAGTTAAAGTTCTGCACCTAAGAGATACCTAACATTTAAGAACTTACAGGACACTTCGTCGCAATTCTGTGTGCACACAAACGTTGATATGTCAAGCAATACTCTCCTCAAAAAAAAGGAGAAAAAAAAAACCAAAAAAACAAAACAAACAACAAAAAAAAAAAACCAGCCCAGATCTGCTAACTTCTACCCAAAAAATTATCTGCCTGCCTATTTGCTCTTATACTATGTATTCTTGACAAATGGCAACTGAAATTGCAGCAACTAACTTCGTAACAAAAGTCTTGCCAAACTACCTATACATTTTTTCTTGTATTGAATGTAAACAACTCAAGGAGGGAGCCTCTTCAGCTGAAGAGTCTGGAATGTCTCAAATACTTTAGCATATGATTCAAAGAATGTCTGTCTTTGTTTGACTAGAGATAGAACCCCTTTCAGTTTTATTTCCTAAAAGACACAGCACTTAAAACATCTGCAATCATGCATTCAACAATGGAAATGGTAGAAATAATAGCAGATGGATAGGCCAAAAGCCACTGAGATGAACAAATTCCTATTTGTCAAACTGCAGCATTTAACAAAACAGAGCACTTCACAAGTCGTGCAAGTTCCCTCTAACTGCGTACAAAGAGTTTATTTCTTGAAAATATACTGTTAAAAAGAAAAAACAGCTAGATTTTGGTGTTTTGTCGTTGTTTTTTTTTTTTTTTTTAACGGAGAATGTGGATTTCTCTTTCTTCAGTCCATAATTGAGAAAAGTATAAGGGAATGGAACTGGCAGAAGTCAGATTCTGAGTTCAAAAAATTGGAGGGCATGAAGTGTTTCCAGCTAACTTCTAACTTGTCTTTTGGTTATGAGTGGGGAGAAAAGGGAATGAATACAAATTAAGTTATTTTTAAAATCAACATGGCCTTTACAGAACCTTATGAGATCATGCACAGAATGACATATGTATCTGGTGGGCAAGATCAAACATGAACAAAGCTCTAACCCAGCGGAATGGGTATCTCTTCATATCACTGCTCAAAACCAAAGAAAAGACACGAACAATGAAGCAAACTTTGCTTCCGCCAGAATAATACACAAAAACCTTTCTATTCATGCCCTCTTGGCTTTGGAACGCAGATACATATGCTGCTCTCAAAGTAATTCCTTCTACTTATTTTCAAGGAAACTACAACAGATATGAAGAGCACAATCACACTATCCTATAAAGAAAATTCTCAGCTACAAAATACTATTTTTCAACACAGTCGCCACCATGAGCAATGCGTTTTTGCCACTGATGAACAAGAACCTGCACGCTACGCTCATAAAAATCTGCACCAGTGGAGACAGCCCGCTGCTGCTGTTGTCACTGCTGAAATGCACCACCCACTGCCTCACTGTGCTCACATCCACTGTGTGGTCTCCATCAATGTTCAGCAAGAGGCGATGAATGTCAGTGGGTGACATTTTTTTTTTTCCCCCACGTGGAGTGGAAATGGTGACACACCTTTACTTCATGTGCTCTTCCATGTCAGATCCCATTCTGCCAGACCATCCCTTTGCTGCCATCTGTCCCACGGCAATAACATGTAATGGAACATTGGTGGGAAGCTTCAACCTCTACTGCCACAGCACCAACATCCGCCTCTGACGCTGTGGGCGAACACAATAAAATAGCAGGCACTGCACAATAACAGCCCTCACACAAACTTTCTGGTTCAGACTTTACAAAAAATTTTGGATGCAGTTCATAGACTGAAGTTTCACTCACGTTTGACACAGGTGGAAAAGCAGGCAGCCTTTCCATCCCACAAGGAAACAAAACCAGTGCCAATGGCCACATCTTGTTTTCATACGTTAAAGGAGGGTAAGTGAAGGAAATCTCTAGTTTGGTGGCAGAGATTTGTGAATGGCAGAACCAACAGTCTGAGGCTGTACATGGACATGAAATATCATAAAAGGAAACTGAAAAGCAATTTCTAAGCTCTGAATCAGACTCTCAAAGGTATCTCAAAACTCTGAATCATAACTAAACCAGTTTTAGATATCAGATCAATAATATTCGGAGAGAAGTGCAAATTTTCTAATAGGGAGAACTACCAAGACTTCAGACTCTCTGAAGTCTAGACTTAGCATCATCATATCACCATCAGTCACTTCACTCAGCCTTACCACTTCTATATCACTATGTACACTACGAAGCTAAGAGGGCCAGAAAATGGTCTAGTATATCCAATCAAAGGATAACTTCCGTATGTTCTCATGTCTTTAAGGGATGAAGTCAACCTTTGTAAGAACCCCACTTACTTTTGACACAGCAAATTTCCTTACAACTGTCTTCCACCTCCCCTCCAACCCTACAAAGAAGTAACAGTAAATACAGAAGGATACAGAACTTCAATCTTACTGTAGTTACCTGGTATACTTGCATATGCTACACAGATATTGTGCTAATTATTTGCTGAGAAGCAATACAAAGTCGGCTTCACTAGTACAGAAAGAAACAAGAAAAGACTTTTTCTTCTCCTCAGATGGCTACAACCTCTATTTTATGGGTTTCTGTTTGTTTGTTGAACAAGATAAACACGCAGTAGCTGCAAGGGGTCACAGGACATTGAGAAGAATATGAAGGCTCAAGAACTTCTGATAAGCAGAAATAGATTGAGAAAGCATACACAGTAGTACAAAGGCTTTAAGTTGCTATCAGAAAACATGCAAGTCTGTCAAACATCAGAAACTCCCCACAGACAGACAGGCCAGTGCTTCCAGTCCCCACAGACAGACAGGCCAGTGCTTCCAAAGGGTCCTTGGGAATTACCAAACTGTTCTTGCTCTCTCCCTGTATACACACACGACTCCCCCCATAGATCCCTGCACTGTAATCTGACAATCTAAGATAGGCTTTATAACCAGCATTCTAAAGCAACCGAAAGCATGTAGGCCAGGACAAGTTATCTTTGAATTTGCTCTGTTTTGAGATGAAACAAACAGATAAAACCCATGCTTTTCTCCCTGAGTTTTCACACTCAAAATGCCCTTATGTCTTTCAAAACAAACAAACAAACAAACAAAAAGCCCTAAAAAGCAATCAGCGAAAAGAGTTCAACAAACAAGTAGATCTCATCACTTACTATAATCTCACAAACTTCAATACCCAACCAATACCAACAGTCAGCTCTGTGCTGCTGAAGCCTTAACTTGCAGTGAATATTCTAGCTCCATTTTGCTGGAGGAAGCAGAGTTCACGACAGTTACAGTCCAATCTAAGCGTTTCTCAGCTAATGCTTCAAAACAAAACTTTTATTCCTCCTCTAGAAAGTAATTTATTATTTTCCTGCTGTTGTATTCCCACGATTTTAGTAAAAGAAAACCCTACACTAACCACAAATTAAATACCTACAAAAAAAAATTTTCAGCAGCAAGTATGTGCTTCATGATTTTGAACAACCACCTTATCTAAACCGCAAATTTGGACAGAAAGCCACGCTTTTGTACAGAGTCCTCTCTAACGGATCAAAGAAGACGGCGGCAATATTGCCCTTCTCCCTAGCAAAACACCTCGGTACCCCCAGCTCCTCGATTTGTACACCTGCGAGCACCCGCCGCATTTCCGCGGCCGCCGGCTCACGCACAGCACCGGCCCGCGGCACCCGCTGCGCTCCACTCGCCCACGCGGCCGGGCCGGGGAGCGCCGCGCTCCTTCGGGATCTCGGGGGCACGGGCGCGCACCAACTCTCGCACAAACCCCGCTCGTCGTTCTCCGCCCCGAAGGAAAACGCCGTCCCAGCGGCCGCCAGTCCGATCGCTCCCGTTCTGGCTCGGCTCCCCGGAGGCCGGCTGCGGTTCCGCTCCCGGCCGGGCGGTTTCCCTTCGGGCCCGCAGGGCGGCCGGGGCGAGGGGGCGGCCGGGGCGCCCGCAGTAACCGCCCGGGGCGTTCTCGAAGGGCCCAGGGTTTCGCCCTGCCACGGTGGAAGCCGGAGCGAAGACTTGCGCCAGCCCGCCCCGAAGAAGAGCGGATCGCGATAACTAAAGCTGACTCAACCTCAGCCTTCTGAGCGCCTTATCGCTCGCCCGTCGGCAAGCGCAGACGGCGCCTCACACCCCGGCCGCGGACCTCGGTTCCCGGGCTCTGCGACCGCCGCCCTCACCCCAGCACACGGCCCGACTCCGGGCGCCGCTCACCTGCGGGGCTGCGCGGCGCCGCCCGAGCCCGGCCGTGCGGGAGTCCGGCAGCGCGGCGACCGCGGGCGCTGTGAGCAGCGCGGGCAGCGGGGGCGCTGATTTACGACGCCCCGCCCCTCGGAGAGCCGCCGGGACACACAGCCGCGTACGTTCGGTGACCTCGCGCTGCTCCTTTTCCCTCGGCTTTAAGAACTTGACTTTCATCTCCCAAATTAGCACTGCAAAACTAGAATTAAGTTTCCCAAATCCACCCTGCTAACGGACCGTTCAGAATACATTGCTTACGTGCCATTCACCAATTCCTTACATCGACAGACTTCCCCCTCGTCCCACCGTGTTACAAGCAGTTATCTGGGCAACAGGTTGGCCGAACAGAACGAAGCCTCAAACGTCTGTAAGGGATCGGGCAGAGCAGCTGAAGGCAGCAAACTCACCGCCCTCTCTTTCCTCAAAACCAGAAATGCTGAGCTAGTTCCCTTTCGGCTACCAAGAACAGCACGGTCTGACTCTACATCCAGACATCCATCCCACTCCCCCCTACATTTTTAACATCACCTCTGAGATACATGCTCAAGCCTTACATCTCCTTTCCCCAAATAATCCCATTTATTGCCCGTTTCAATCCAACCACGGCCTGTGCACATCTGGCACGCTACTGTTCACCACAGTCTTCCCTGTGACAAACAGTATTGCTTCCTGGAGCCCTAATAATGTGCCTGACACGGAAGCTAGGCTATCACACGGACTGCTTTGCCTTGCCACCTGTCACTGTGAGCCAGCCAGCAGGAAATACCCATAGCTGTCAATACCTTTCATTTATGCAATTGGTTGAACTCTTTACTTTAAAGCCAGAGGCCTTAATATAGACTGGTTGGGAATTCTTTCTTGGCATTCAGTGGCTGATTACAGTGATTCAGAATAGCTTCTGGAAACACAGGGCTCATAAGGAAAAACTGCTCCATAAATAGAAGACACATGTTCAATAATTTTGATAACACTTTCCCTCTTAAGCCAACATTTTGGAAACATCTTCACAGCCAACATATTGGCATTCACATTTCAAAAGCAAATATTTACCTGCCTAACTAAGCATCTTATTTTGACATTAAATACCTGGCTCCCATCGGCTGTACAATTCCTCTCTTTTGGGAAATCCCTTGCACACATCTTCTTTTCACTCTGAAGTCTAATCCTTTCACTCTCTTCCCCCATCCTTACAAGGACTAGCTTTAACAAGCTTCCAAAGTATCTGCTTCAAGGGCTGACCACACGATATTACTGAAGTTTTGGTCCCTAAACTGTCTAAATAACTAAGATCATTAAGAGGCAGGTGATTAATCTCCTACGACCTGTGTATTATCAAAGCAGTCATCAAAAATAAAAGTTTTTATATTCTCAGTCCAAACAAGTTAGTCTGTATCCAGTAGTGACAACAGCAGGATTAAACTGCTGAACACAGTGGTGAATCCCCATAGGTGACATCTCTGGATATTTGGTAGAACTGGGATATCTGCTATTTGTTGTCATGCAGCGACCAGAATACTGCATCTTGCAATCTGAACTACTCAAAATTATCTTACAGAAAAGTGAGATTTAAACAGAAGGAACAATTCAAGACAGAAGGAGCGCAGCACCTTCCTTTGAAGTATAGCTGGCTCTTAATGAATGTATAGCTCATCATGACAAGATTGTTTAGCCCTCGTGTGTTGTACATATTGGGAGAGGAAATTTCTCGGAAAAAAATCTGGAGGATTTTCACAGATATGAACAGAATAAACCTCAAATTAGATGGTTAGTTTAATATAAAAGAGGGAAAAAAAAGAAAGCAAATGTAGCGAGAGCTCTAATATACTGCAGGGAAAGAAGAAGATAAAATAAAAGATCAGAAAATTATTAAACTTATCCAACACACTGATGTACTGATGTAAAGGAAGCTCAGTGGCACTTCTGACTGGTGCTCCCCTGCTCATGGCAAACTCACTTTGGTTCCTCTAAGAAAGGCATGAGCAGGAGGAGAATACGACTGATGTATTGCCATACACCTTTTCCAGTAGCAATTTCCATATCAATTAAGTTCAGGTAAAAAGTAAAAGACAACTGTTTCCCAAAGGGTTAATTCTCTCTTGCAGGAGATGACCCATCACTGGCAGCATGCTGATGAATGCAAACTTCCACACATACTCATCTCTCCCCAGATTACAGGATGTTTTAACATTATACAGACACTGAAGAAAACCTTGAAGTTACGATCTGACAGCACTCTGCAGTGGTAACTTCTGACATTGCCAACTGTGCAAAAATCAGGTGAGTGAGGGCCTGAGAATAGATGAAGAGATGTATCATAAATGTTTCAGAAACTGTCAGTTTCCAGAACGTCATGACACAAAGAATAATCCTTGGAGATTTTCCATAGGACAATTCAGCATGATCTTTCTTCAAAATAAAACTGGAGAAGGGAGAGGAAGAGCAGGGCAAAGTAAATTAATCAAAACAATAAGACCACAACCCCATCCTGGACAACAAAATGTCTTGCTATGGCCTGTTCAAGAAAACCAAAATTTGGGCAGAAAACAGAAAAGATGAGGATCGGGATGACACTTTTAGTATTGTGAGCCATGTACTTTTTGTATGACCTACGCTTTCATTTTTGTAACACGTCACAGTGGTAAATATTTTCACAGGAAGGACCTTGCTTCTCCACATGTTCCACAGTTCAGTGAAAAATATCTAAAATCACATGAACAATTCAGATGAGTTACCATGTAAGATGGTCTCCATTTACAACACTAAAAACTCCAGGAAATTTTCAGGCACTGCAGTTACATAGGAAGTAATGTCATGGTTCGTTGTCATGTTTTATGAATAAGACTTAGAAAAGAAGTAGCAATTTCCTTAGTAACATGACTGAGTGCTCAGTAATGGGACTGGTAGCTGGGCAGCCCTGCATAAACTGTGATTACTCTTGCATGAGTCATTACATCCTTTTCCTAAGAGTTGACTTTGCCTTCAAATCAAACTGAAAATTGGTCATCTCCTTTACATACAACACTTTACACAACACGTCCTTGTACATATTTTTTAAAAAGATTTATTTGCAACCTATAAGAATGAAGAATTCACAGGACCACCTATACTAGCTGCATTACTTTACTGTGGGTTACAGTAAGCTACTGAGAGATAACCTGAATCACACTAGATTAGAGTCCTTGTTGCCATTTTTGATGCTTTCACACTATTAAATTTACTTCAGAAATGCGTTTATTGAGATGTTGTCAGCCCTCTGAAAGCACTAGTGCCCTCAAACAACTACAGCAGTTGTCTGCCAAGCCTTTCTATCAGTATTCTGACCTGCCATAGCCCTTACTCATCTGCTTATCTACACAGTATCATGTTGTCTGCTCATCACCTTGCTGCAAAACTTCTAGTGGTGAATCACTGTACTTCATGATATCAGATGGGGGAGGCTAAGAAAACAGTGCTGTGCAGAGCATTGCTGGCCACACATCACACACACAGCTGTGGCCATGTACGGCCACCATCGACTTCTGCTTTCGGAAGGAATACGTACAGCTGTGTATTTTCACCTAATGCAAAGGCATTGATATGAACATAAACAAGCAGAGGACAATAACTGACACCTAAGACAGTCCCAAGAACTGTGCTGCTCTAGGTTGCTTACCTTAACCGTGCTAGGAGTTGAGTGCTTGCTGGTTCATTTACAGAATGTGCTTGGTTCACAATTAGAAAAAGAGATGGTGCAATGAAACAAGGGGACTCACTGGAACTTTTCAGTTTAATCTTAAACATCAGAATTACGGTCCTAAAACAACTGCGAAGAAATCTATCTACTTTAAGAGTGCTGCTGTTCAGCTGTAAAGACAGAACCCAGATTAACTATACAAGATGACTACAGCGGATGCATAGATTGCTCATATAGCAGTTCTCATAGATTTTTTAATGAATAAAAGGTAAAGCAAGTTTCTACTCTAGGCTTCTCTTAGAAGAGAAACAATCCAAACAAGTAAAATATTACATGCCCTCAACTCCCACCGATGCCACATGGAAAAAAATAATGTTCAGCATAACTGTTGGCTAAGAAATCAAGTTAATTCGATGGTGAATTTTAAATTTTGAAAACTGAACTGCAGCAGTGCTTTCTAAGGTTTGCCCTGGTTGCCAACTGAAATGGCCAATTTTAGCCATCATCTCCACAGACCTCCTTGAGAAAGTTACCAACATCCAATTTTGCTGTATGGTCTGTCTTAGGCCTGAAGACACGAGGTCTTCCCAAATCTTCAGAGAGCTATCGGTCATGAGTTAGAGTCAAGAAGCGTTGCAATCCTTAGCCTCAAAACACTTTGCAAACTATCAGCCCCATAACTGATCATCCTAGAAATAATGCTGCAGTAAAAGCAGAAGAGTTTGAGGAGTTACAAAAATCTAAGCTCATTCAGTGACAAACTCAAGCACGAGCATGCTCTGGTTTGTTGCAGTTTCAGGCTACAGCACATTTAATTTTTGCTAACCTAGAAGAACGCCAACTGGGTTCATGTAATGCCTGATGTCTGATCCTCATTCACTACTGGATAAAAACTTCAGCTCTGACACATCAGTATTTTCCAGTAGGAACTGGTTTACTGTTAGACACCTCTAATCTACAGCTCGAGAAAGTGAGTCTTAA